TTCCCTATTAAATAGCCTTCATAACTACATAGTAGGTGCATCTACACAAGACACTACTGTGCAAAAGGGGGCTGCAGGTACATGTTCACAGTTCAGTTCAGTACGGTCACAACAGCAGTGCTTCATTAACATAACATATTAACACATGCACCATCCTGTGCAACGTATCGGCATGTCAGTATTGAACAAAATAACACCAGGAAACTTGGTATGCCCAGTTTTTCTAGTCATTGGGAGTTTTTTCTTACCTTGATTTCAAATTAGAATTAAATGATGGAGAGAAACAGATGCATAGGTGGAACGTCAGCAACCAAAACCAGGAAAAAATTAAGCAAAGGACTAATATTGTTACCCAGAAGCCCTCAAAGTTATTTTTGTTTATGTAAAATATGAAATACGTTTAAGGTTTTTTTTAATTTCCCCTGTGGTCCTGTTTGATATCTGTGGTGATGGCAGCTTTTCTTATTGAGGTTTTAGTGGGCCCTCAGGTAACCATCTGAGGAAAAGTTCACATCTGACATCCTGTCTTTGATAGATTCTTCAACGCCTCAAGAAAGACTCTGAGTCTGAAGAGAAAAAATTAGTTGAATGTACAACTAAATTGAAAAATCAGAAACAATTACTGGAGCAGGAGCTAACAGACCAGCAAAATATATTGGAACAAGCAATTGCAAAAGTAAGAATGACGGAAGAAAGGATCGGGAAACTGGAGAAGGAGGAGAGCTGGTGGGCGGCACTTGAAGAAAAAGTCCAAGAAACCAGTAAGATGTGTCTTGTGTGTTTATAACTGTGACTGCACATGAGGTCAGCTCCCAAAGCCCCCAGGCAACTAACTGGGGATTAGAGCAGGCAACTATGCTAGACCTGGTCTAGGGAACATGAAGAAAAAACAGGGATTCCTGGTCTTTTGGGTTAATCCTCAAGGCAGGCGTGCAGAACTTGAAAAGTAAATAAGATTGAAAAAAGAAATTGAGAGCGTGCTGGGAATTAGGTGAGGATGGAAGCATAATCTGAATAGTGTTTCTAACAGGGAAGTTCAGTGGAAATTTATTTCAGGACTTGCTTGCAGTTTTTTAGTGGTTATGCATGTGTGTTAAGTAGTCTCAAATAGGCGCCCTTCTTCATTTTCATCAGTCCAACTCAACATCTTGGTCATGAAACAACCCAGCAATCAATAGCGTTTGGAGTGAAAAAGGTTGCAGGGCCCTTAGCACTGAATAACTATACAGTTTTCATGTACAAAGACATGAGCGGTTCTAGTCTTTAGTTGCACTGCTTTTTTTTCCCTTCCAAAAGACGTTATGCATCCAATACCACTGGATTCACTGTGTTTCGGTGACGAGCACTGCTTTTTTAAATGTAATTCCAGGTCATGAGCTCTCAGAGAAAGAGTTGCAGTTACAGGAAAAAAACAAAGAAATGGTATCCCTCCGAGAAGAACTTGGACTCTTGAGAGCAGAGCTAAACCGTCTCCAAGATCAGATCATGTCAGAGAGGGAAAAAGCAGAAAAACAAGTCATCTGTCTGAAGGAAGCCATTAAAACCCAAAGGACCCAATTTGAGAGAGAACTGCATGTATGCCTTTATCATTTATTTTATTTTTTTTGCTGTAAAAAGTAATTTAATTGCATGACCATGTGTGTTCTTTAAAGGAAAAGGAAGAACAAAAATACTGTATTTGAAACTCCAAACGTGCTGACAGCACAGGGTGAAATTCAGGCAGCCGGTTTCAGAGTCGCTCACCCACCTGTCGTCATTCCCGTGCTGCCCTGTGAGAGACTCCTGCAGCTAAACCCATTTTGACTAAACTAGCAGGCAGGACAAACCATTTTAACTTGGGGCAGAAAGAGTCGTATTAGGTTTTGTTTCCCTGTTTTCAGAAATCTTTTACATAGAAAAAGATCAAAGCTTTTGTGATTTCACATCTGTGTCCTAGGAACAAAAGCATAAAAACAACTATCTGAGGAAAGAAATGGCAGCTGTAGAACAAGTGGCTCAAGGCAACCACAAACGAGCTGAACGCTTGATCAAGGAGCTCGGCCAGATCCAGCAGGATTATCTGGACCTCAAGGCACAGGTACCGCCTGTCACCTAAGCAGAAGTTAATTCTCTTCAAGGGCAGTGTTTGTGTGGGAGTTATATATATTCGAAATAAGTTATGTACACTCTAAACAAGCTCTGGTCCTCACTTTTACCTCCCTACATTCATTGTTATCATTACTAAATCCATATACACTTGCCTGCACAGCGCACAACCTGTTTGGGCTCTCGGGCTGTGGCATGGCTCGTATAAAACTCTCATTGACGTTGTGGACCAGAGGACTGAGCCTTAAGCTCCTGGAAGAATCGCAGGAAACTAAAATAGTTTGGATAGTTACAGCAGAGGAAAACGTTGCGTTTCTCCTTGTGTTGCAGACACGTGAACGTTAGTAAAACCAAGCAGACTTTTTTTTTCCTCCATCAGTTCAGTCTAGTTGATCTTGAATATATCTGTTAGGTTTTTTTTTAACCAGTCTGCCAAAAGGGAAAAATGTGATTCAGAGGGGTGCTGAAACTACTGCTGAGCTGACATGCAGAATGGATGCCCAGCTTTATTATCAATGCATGGAGAGAGTAAAACATTGAAGCTGGTTTGGCTTGTCCCTGGTGCCATGTCAGGACCGCCCATTAAATATGGCATGACGCTTACGGACACAACTAACTACTGCAGTCAGACTTCTGTATTGGTTTCCAAAGGAAAACTGCACTTCCAATTTTAGAAACGCTCTGCTTTTGACCCTGTGCTTTGGGCTTGAAAAGTGTGGCAATCCCACAAAAATAAAATGCCACTTCTATTACTTAGACCAAAACTTAGAGTAATTTTCTTGTCTGAACACTGTTGCCCACTCATTTCTAACAGACTTCCTCAGAGAAATTCCCTCAGTAACTAAATCACGTCCCAAGAGGACTGAGAGAAGAGGAATTATTTTTTTAAGTATCAGTCTCTACCTCCAGAGAAATGCAAAAAATGCTGAGAGAGACACGAGAGGCACCAAATTCCTGGTGTCTCGCAGATCAGACAAAGACCTGAGCGTGGTTGTGCAGTGCAAACAAGTGCTCAAAGCTCCTTCAGTTCACTCCTGATAGCAGCAAGGAGCTAGGCTGTCCCCTTGCACTGCTGTACCTGTAACATTAAGCACTGGTTAATAGTGGCTTAATTTGATGGGAAAAATTAGAGATGGATGTCATCCCGCTTCTGAATGCAAATCTGCCTGTTTGCACCGCTCTTTAGATTCAAACACAAGAAGATTTGGAAAAAAGACAGCAAGAAATAAAGGATGCAGTGAAGATGCTTAAATTGGAGGTGAAAGATGAAATCCGCACTGGGCTTAAATCAAGCCCCTCTCCTCCCGAGCTGCTGGATGATCTGGAAGCAGATTTTGAAGTAAAGGAAGGGCTGCAGTGTGAATTAGAAGATTTAAAGGAGAATTTCCCATTTGCATCTAATGAAGAAAGACAGCTGTTGTTTGAAGAGAGACTTAATTTATCCAAAGTCCACCTAATGGTAAAATTATGAACAAAAAAATGACTTTATGTGAGTGTTTAATGCAACCCAGTTTAGGTTGTGTGCCCATGATGTCATTATTGTCCCTTCCACCGACACGAGTAATTTGGGTGTTCCTCAAAAGCCCAGCATGACGCTAAGATGGGCCTCTTGATTGCTAGAATTCTTAATTTTCCTGGTCACTTTTTGGTCACTAAAATGGCCACAGTCCCATAGTCTTCACCAACCCCAAATGCCTCTGAAATCATGGGGAAGGAGTGAAGGATTTAGTCCCCTTTAAGACGCAGTGTTATGTACTGTGTAGCATAGATGCTGGTTGTTTAAAAACTGCTTCCTGTGGCTGCTAACTGCAATTCTGCTTCCAAAGGATGAACACTGGCGTGGAGAAGCGCTCCGGGAAAAGCTGCGTCACCACGAAGATCGGCTCAAGGTTGTACACATCCTCTCCCCACCCAGGGCAGCACGCTGCTTATTTAGTGTAGGGCTTCACTAGATGATGTCTTGAGGATTTCCTCCTTTGGGGTGATTGAATGATAATTTCATCCTTCTCTAAAGAGCCATCAAATGTGCTTTCGCGACGTGGCTTGAAAAGTGGGAGAGATGTGGAGGAAGGCAGAGCACCGTCATGTCACCTGAACGGTTTCTCAGAGTTCAGGTTCAACGTGCGTCCTCGGCTGTGCTCATCCACCCAGGGTTGTGAGCAGCTGTTCTGTACACACTCGCGTAAGGCACTGCCTTAAACCTGACAGTCTCATTCAAGCCCAGCCCCAAGCGCTGTAAATGGCAATAGCACCAGAATTTAGAGAAACCCTATCTAGAGCTCTTCCCTGAGACACGCTTGGTGTTCGAGAATACAAATGCTGCCTTTGGATCTTTAAAAAGCATGGCCCTAGACATGAAATAGAAGCTGAGTAATAAATGGGAACTAACAATTGCTTTCAGGCTCAGCTGCGACATTGCATGTCCAAGCAAGTGGAAGTATTAATTAAAGGAAAACAGCAAACAGAGGGGACCCTGCACAGCCTGAAGAGACAAGTCGATGCGCTAGACAAACTGGTCTGCAGCGCTTCTTCAGACTCCCTGTTACTCTCCCAAAGCTCCTCGGGGCTCCTATCCTCCCTTCACGATGATCTTGACCTTACAAAGAACCAGGTGATGCTTTAGAATGTCTTCCCACGTCACGCGTGGTTGATTTGAAATCCCAGCATTATAGCTGATTGCTAGCTTGCCTTGAGCAGAGCCGCATCATTACACTTAATGCTTTCCAGGCATGATTGTGGACTGCTGTAAAATATTTCTGAAGACAGGATGATTGGAGACAAAGCAGACCAGCTCTAACAGAGACCGAGTTACCTGCACGTGATATCCCATAGCCCCATGTTTAGAGCACTTTCCTGCCATGACAAGTTCTCCTTGGCCAAGTCCAGTGGGAAATCTAGCTAGCTTCCAAATTTCCTCTGCCTTCTTAAGACTATCGATACAAAACTATTCAGATCAAATTCAACATTTCTTTTAGGTCTCCATGACGCAACTTGTTCCAAGATAACATGCAGCAAAGCTTGACTTGTCTGCTTTGTGCAGCAAATTCTCATGGGGGGTGGGGGGAGGGTTACTCCCACCGACGAGGATTTGTGTGGGTGATCTCTTCACTCCACATGTCTAGTTGGGAGGGACCTAGACGAGCTTTTGGTCCCCTTCCTCGGGTCTTCTGCAGCCCGTCTTGGTTGCCAGCTGGCCAGGTTTAAAGTGCTGCCTTGGGTACAGTTATGTCCCACTTCCATTCGGTAGATGAAGCCGAGGCAGGGAGGCTGATCTGCTCAAGGCAGGATCAAGTCAGTTGGAAGCAGTGGTAAAACCTGTCTCTGCCCACTGTCTCATCCATTTCCAGGCCAGCTAGGGCTGCTCCACTCTTGCACAGCTCCTGCTGCTCCTGTTAGTGGGAACAACTTTTGACTACGTATTTCCTACCAACAGAGAGGAAAAACAACTTGCTCAAGGCACAGGGGGTCAGTTTTCTGACCTCTTGTCCATATGCAATGAAGTGGGTTGGGGGCAGGGGGCCCAAACCACCTCAGCTTTCATGTATAAACTTCATGCTGGACTTCCCTAGCGGCGTGTTTGTGCATGGGAGCATCAACCATAATAGGTTTTCCCAGCTTAGGTTCTTTAACCAAAACTCATTTAGAAATGGAGAATTAAGCCACCCTTGCTGCTTAACTCATCACACAGGCAGCTCAGCATATTTACCCAAGCTTGACTACCACATTTTCCCCATTCTCTAGGCTGCTCTGACGGGAGTCGTCCAGTCCCCCGAGAGAACGACAGAGAGCATTTCCCAAGTTGCGATGCCGTACACAAGGACTCCCTCAGTAAAGCCTGGCGGTAAGAGAGTCGTTAAGCCAGCTTTACTTGAACAGCATGCTAGTTGTGTAGATCACTGTAGACTGCCTAGAACACGTTTAGAGTTTCTCCTCAAACGCTGGTGAGTAGTGCATACCGTTCCCTGCTGCTTCTCATCTCAAAGGGTGCAAGTGTTGTGCCTCCAGTGCGTGCTACTGTACTGAGGCTGCAGGAGGAATTTGAAAGCATCTCTCACTTAAAACTTGTTTTGGCTCAGAGCAAGTCCATGCCTTTATACACTCAGCACCCATACTTCATGTACATTGCTACTGGCTATTTCTACCCTGGCTGAATTTCGGATGTCACTTCTTAGTGCTAACAGTTAAGATTAAGTGCTGTGTCCTGTTCTGTCTGGACAGTTTTAGGTTGGTCGCTGCACTTGGGAGAGACTGGTCTATAACCAGCCCACCATTCATGCTCAAAGGATCCTGTTTCTATACCTCTCATTGTGAAGAGCTCTCAGGCACATCCTTATGAGCAAGAAGGTGCACTTCCCCAGGGACAAGTACACCTTCTACCACTGCTGTTTGCCCCCAGGGAAAGCCCATGTCATACACACTCTTGCATGCAGACTCTTACCCCAGTGGGTCAGGGAGGCTCAGCCAGCAACTGTACTGGCCCCAGTGGCGTTACCTGGGGTCCTGGGGGCTTCCAGGAGCTGCAGCCGCAATAGTCCCGCCGCAGGGAGCCTAGCCAGCAGCTGGGACATAGAGCTGACCTGCCAAGCTGGTTTTGGGCCGCACACGCTGCCTCCACATGCACCACTGTGCCTTTTTTTTTTCTTTTTTAGGTGTGGGCTTTTTTGACCCCAGGATCTCCCCAGATCATCCCCCTGCAAAGTAACAACATGGGGAACACGCACGCATGTGGCATGCAGTGCCGCATACAAGTCTGCAGCACCACATACTGCATGTCTCCACTCATTTAGATGTGCTCCTTGCATTCATAAAAGGCTAGAGTAGATTGCCCTAGTGGAGAGTTAAGAAGAAATACCTTTTAACATGTTTCTGCTGCCCAGAAATTATTGCCATTTCCAAAACTCATCTCACGCACCTTACAATAGATGGAAAACACTTCATTCTTAGGGGTGCTGCCATAGCAGTTTGAGAACAGCACAACTGTTTAATTTTGGATTTATAAATAGCCTTGAAGTGCTCCAGCAGAATCACTAATTGCTCCAAACTTTTATTGTAGACCAATGTTGATCTGTGAAACCAGTGGAATGGTGAAGAACCAGACTGTCCTTCTAGTACTTGACCTCTTACAGCCTGAAGACTGCTACCTCATTAGCTGTGAAGTCTCCTTCCAGCCACTTGTTAAGAAAGCCTGGCCCTGCATCCCTGAGTAATCCTTTTGTACTAATACTGTAAAAGTTTGTATGGTTATGTAACTACTGAGTCATTAATGTTATATTATGCCAATTATGTTAACTGTGAGAAGAGGAACTGCTGCAGTCACTCAAAACTCTCAGTTCACTTTTTGTGGGTTTAATATGTGTTGTGCCTAATATTTTGACATGCAAATTTGATGACAAAGGAACAGGCATCTGGTGTCAGGAAATGCATTAGTCCTTTCAAATCAGATTACTTTGGAATATTTTCTTAAAAAAAATAAAAGGGTTGTATCGACTACAACTTGCCTGTAATTCCTTTGTTTCAAAGTTTCCAACTTTTTCCAAGAATCCTGCACCATGTGGGTGAGGGTTGTAGGAGCGCAGCCTGCTTAGAGTCCTGCTCAATACCAACAACTTGATTTGCTGGTTGGATCTGAACCTAGGTGCTCTGAAAATGTGAATTCCTTGACAAAAGTGGTCCAAGGGATAGGACACAGGATAGGTCAGTATACAAGCACACTGGCCCTCTTTCATTAAATTGCTAATAATTAATATCTTGAGGAACTGAGTTATTTGAATCCTTATGTAATGGCTACTAATTACTTAGAACAGGGGTGGGCCAAATGTGGCCCACCAGGTCATGCTCTCCAGCCTGCGGGGCCCCTAAAAATTTAGAAAATTAATTTATCTGCCCCTGGCTGCCTGTCATGTGGCCCTCAGTAGCTTGCCAAGACTCAGTAAGCGGTCCTCTACCTAAAATAATTGCCTGCCCCTGGCTTAGAAGCTCTGCATTTGCTTTTGCCAGCTGCCTGACCTCACTCAGTTCAGAACCTGAAGTTGGCCTCTTTCTTAAGCAAATTCAGTTACACAAGGTGGCTAACTGGTGGACGCTTTTTTTTTTTTTAATTGCCGTCACTTTCTAGGTCTTTTATAAAACAGCCATTCCTGTAGCTCTGATGGACAGTCTGGCACCTTGACTGCTAGCTTCCAAGCAGAGGAAGCAAGCATGGATGTGTCAGGCCACATCCTACCTGCAGGGCTACTGAATGTCTAGAGTCAAGGCATGCAGCTTCCTGTGCTCCCAAATGCTCACTGCTGCTCAACCTGGTCCATTAACTGGCTCTCACAAAAGCCAGAATCAAGTAGGAAGCACCAGAACCTTAAATGCCAGAACCAGAGTCCGTGCTTACCTTACTCCTTCCCCTTGCTGCAGCCCCAGGGTTTAGCGCGCCAGGAATTCTTGGAGTTGTTTGCGACTTATCAGGTTCTTGGGGACTTTAAAGGAGCTGTGGAGACTGATTGCATGGCTCTGCCGTTCAAGGTAATTTTTACATGTTTGAAGTGGAATGCAGGGTCTTGCGACACAAGCCTCAAAGCTCTTATCAAGTACAGAACTGAGAACAGACCCAGGCAGTCAGCAAGTCTGAGCTTGATCAAGGCTCCTCCATGTGAACTTGTTTCAGAACTAACCAAACTGCCAGGTTACCTTTTGCTGAAGCTGCAGCTGAAGAAATTCAGTTGCATTTCATTGGATAGACAAGGGGGGGGGGGGGAGAGAGAGATGCCAGCTGCTGTAACCAGTCACAACCCTTCCTTTAAAAAGGGAAATTCCTTTTATCACTTGTGCAGCCTCCTTTATGGGGCAGTGATTTGCTTACTAAGCAGCAACTAACTTTTATAAGCTCCAACACCAGTGCTTTCAAGTCACAGTGCTGGCACCAATCCCCCACCCATGACCCTACTTCCAGTTTCTGCCCCCCCAAGACCCTTACTGCAGAAAAAGCAAGTACAGGGTTGACAACTTGGAAAAACAACCCCTTTTAGAAGGCCCAACCTCTAGTTCAATTTGACTTCTAAAGAATATTATGGAAACGTGAATTAAGCTGGGTGTAACCAAAGTCACATCAGCTGTAGTGATGCAAGACCAGCCTTCAAGTTCACGATCCTTTGGATCTAACAAGTCGGTGGCACCAGGGCTGAGCTAGTTTCCACCTCCTTTCCCCCCCCCCAAGTTTTCCAATAACACAGCCCACCAACACATATCTAGATACAGGTACTTTATTTACAAATATTTAGATTAATAGCATTGTTACATTAAATGAGGGGTACAGCAGTCCAAACAAGTCCTTTCTGTCACAGAAACAATAAGACCTACTGTAACTTATTTTGGAAACAAGGGTAATGCACCTCAATAAGTTGTGAGCATTAGACAGCTGTTTACCCAAATGTGTTTTCTTCAGCAGCAGGTCATGGTCCCTGGGCAAACTCTTTATGGTGCAACGGTTTCAGCAAGATGCATCAGTCGTAAGTCTTTGCTATTATACCAGTCTAAGAACCTTAGGTTGAAGGAAAGAAAGAATAAAAGGAGACTAACCAGACAAGAAACAAGGGACAGTGCACAAGGTACCCAAATCCTATTGTCTGCACATTCCAGTTTTGGCTTTAACATCGACTGTACAATACTCTGGTACCACCGTTCGCTTACAAGTCTGAACATTGTATAGTTTTAGTGTCTAAAGAGGGTGTTAAAGACCACTTGGCATTTTAAAACACTGCAGCTGGATGAGGTGCCCGATACCAGAACACACCTTTTGTGCATCAGATTTAACCACTTCCTTCCCCTTGTGGTTTCTGAAGTGAAAAAGTTTGCCATTCCATGCAAGACGCAACCCTGCTCGTACAGCACTGCAACGCGCAGCTCTAACCGGAGAGAAGAGAACATGTACTTCAACAGTCCCTGCATGCATGGCCGCTACTCTAGGTCTCCCTTTATCCAAGGGTGATTATAACTCGTGTAGTTTCATGAAGCATTCCTAATGTTTTCAAATGGAGGGAGTCTTATCTTCCCTTCAGGGGGTGGGTGAGAGAAACACACGCACAAGAGGAAAACTAAAATAAGACGACACCTTTCCACTGTAGTGTTAAAAAAATACTCAAGTAGTTTAAAGAAAGAAGAGGAAAAAAGCCTAGGAGCGCACGCACTGTTCTGACAATCCAGTTCAGAATCCGACCACCCAAGAAGTTAAGGTATAAAAGCATAAAAATGTGCAATAGAACCGGCCTTTTTATACAATGCAAGGCAGGTAACGAAGCCCAATAATGCAAAATGCTTACAAAAGAGAAAAGCAGGTTAGCACGCTGCCGATTGCACAAAAACAGGGTTAATAAAACGGCAGAGATACCACAGTGCAAAGATGGAGCCGAGACGGATAGTCCACTAGTGTTAATTTTTGCATTGGGATTGGAGGTCCCCCAGCACAATGTCCACTGTTGACACCAAGGAGTTAAGCCTATGTTAGTGAACTGCAGTAACATCTATTTTTGTACTACTGGGGCAACATGGTCACATAGAGGTCATACTGTACAAACTGATATTTTCTTATATACTGTTCTAATGCCAGTAATCAATTTTTCTTCATTAAAATCATATACACAGAATGTATTTATCTGTTAGCTCAGTTCCTTCAAATTTTATACATATTTACGTTCTGTTAACAAATGTCAAGGATAAAATGGCAGAAGAGTGATGTAAAGCTATAGAGCACGAGAAGGACTCTTTCCCTGTGCTAGGCTAAGATGGCAGTCGGTAGTCTCCTCCTGCAAACCATCCCTTCGCCCCCACCACAGGGAATCCCTCCAACAAAAAGCACATGGTTTCAGAGCCCCTTTTCTACCATCAGAAGTCATTTCACAGCAAATAAACTTATCTGTTACTATAGACAGCTTGAGAAGTTACAGATGGGGCAGAAAGGCTGAAGAGAGCAGAAAATTAAACCATTCAGAAGACAAAGCCCTGCAAAAAAGTGTGAAATCATGAGTCCAGCATCAGTGCTCAGTTTAAATCATGTACTGGTTGGTGACACTATCACAAGGACAATCAAAGAGGAAAGAAAAAAAAAAAAAAACTTCTAATTTACCATGCAGGAGAGGTTTATTACTCTAATTGCTTCTGATAACCTGATTACATCTAAGTTGTTTAGCAGTTTAGTACTGTGTTAAATTGTTGTCTCAGAGTTTTAATTAAACCCAATAAGATGTACAGAAGACGATGAAGCAGTCAAAAGCACTGCTTCCAACAGACAGAGGTGAAAGGTCAGAAATGGAGCCATGGAACACGTCACTAGCAGCCGCAGCCTTCTCTCTGAGGCTGGGTTTCGCTGGTTAGTCGCCCCCCCTGCGGAGCTGACGGTTTGTGTTGTACACCCGACTCTGCGGCATTCAGATCCAGGCTTCCATCTTGAATGTTCTGGTAGATTTTCTTGGCCGCCTCCAGGAATGCATCCTCCACATTCTCCCCTCTTAAAAAGAGAGCAAAGTCAGTTCTCGTGTCCACTGCACTGCAGTCTAGGCAAGTCTAGACTTCAATCCAAAAGCCACCCAGTCCTCCAGCCAGTAGACAAGACATGACAACAGAAATTTTGCTTGGTCTTGTATTCAAAGAGCAACCGCGCACACAGGACCTGCAGACAATCCACTGTTAGGCACCTTGAGCACCTACTGGCATGGACATTTTAGATAAAGTAGAATTAAGACGCTGATGGTTTTCAAGTGCAGTTACTGCCAGCTTCAGGAAAAGGAAGCAGGTGTCACTTCACCTTTGAAGCGGGGGATTTTAGACTACCTCCGCTTTAGCACAGGTTACGTGGCACAAGCAGCCATACTAGAAAATGCCCAATGGTTTTTTCTAACTGCAACGGAGAACTACAGAAACAGACAGAACAGCAAGAAGCCGCCACCATTCGAGTTCTCACTAGTTAAAACTTGTATATTGGATCTCTGCAGACTACTGCTCCACTAGCCATTACATAGCAGCGGTGCAGGACCTGGAGGGGGAACTGTTATTCTGAAAAGCAGAAGGGGACTGTGCTCCTGTTTCGAAGAAACACTCTTTTCCAACTGTTTTACAAATCTCTCACTTCTCTGCCTTGCTTTCCTAGGAGCACTGCCCCAGAGCTCCCAGAAGGCTCCCAGGAAGCAACAAGCCTGAAAGCTGGGGCTGCCCAGCTCCTGAGGACGGTGGAAGCTCAGGTTCCTTGAAGCTATGCAAGGAAGCAGGCAGTTTTCCCGCACAAGTCTGTGCAGCATCCAGCTGATTTGTGACAGCACTGTGACTGGATTTTGCTAATACCATGAAAAGCATCTTGCTGTTTCTGTCCAAGTTTCTCGCTCCCTTAAGAGCGACCAGAAGTGTGTCAGTGGGTCCTTAAAACTGCAACTTCCTCCCCCTAATGCAGTCTATGGCACGGCACGTCCTAGCTTTACAAGACTATATGGCAGGCCTCTGGTTAGAGTAATGTCAGACCTGCAAAGACATGCGTGCCTACTGCCAAGTGTAGAGGTCAGCTGGATCCCACTTACAAAACCCACTACAGCAACACAAATGTTTGGGCAGCTCAAGTCAACTCGCAGCTAAAAGCATGAGCACAAATGAAGTGTCCCCCCTCCCTGTTGTGGAAGTGTTGCAATCAACCTTAGTTTCATTTCTCTACTGCCGGGGATGCCCCATCAGTCTGCTATAACATGTCACAGGCTTGCTTGCAAAGTGGGCCAGAAGTACAAGAGCCGCCGTACAACTCCCAAGTCCGGAGCAAGACGGATTGAAGTGGAACCAGAAGCCAAGCTTCCTTCTACCTTGTGATGTCATCTCATCACAAGCCAATCCATGAAGCACCATTCGCTGGTGCTTACAAATCCCCAACATGCCGTGTTATGAAAAAACCCAAATACACCCCCCTCCCCACAGAAAGATCCTATTTCCCCAGAGACAAACAGTCCGCTTTGCTTGTTAGCGCACAGCAACCACTCCTATTCGGCATTAGACCCATCACTTACGTTTTTGCACTTGCTTCAAGGAACAGTAAACCTAGTTAGAAATAAAATTGACAATTAAGATACAAGAAATGCTTTCTGTTCAAGAGACCCATACCCCAGTCACTACAGCCATCCACAGACTGATGCCTTGCATGGTAATGATAATATTGCACAGCAATACTTCAATGAAGTTTAAAATTAGGACATCTATCTGCAAGCATTTTTTTTGTTAAAGTAAGCAAAAGTTAAAATTAAGCCAAGATGAGCTCACAAGAGATAGCACAAGTTCACCCTCCGTCACGTTACTTTGGAAGTAGTGCACTTTCAACAGCTTGCAGTTACCAGAGCTGAAGGTTCACATTGCCATGTCTAGTCAGAAATGTAATAGCTCAAAAAGAAACGCACCGTTTTCTTCAGCAAATTGTTTGGCCTCTTCATATGTAACATCTCTCTGTGCTTCCAGATCTGCTTTGTTTCCTATGAGGATTATCACCTGGGTCAGAACAGAAGACGTTAGCCTTGGAAGAGTTTAACTGCTCTTCTATCACAGTCCTTCTATCAGAGAGCTTTTAACAGCAAAGGCTTCGGACTGGGGGCAGTCTTTGGGTGCCGCGTTCAACTCTTTACTACCGCAGGATTCTCATGACAAAAGGGCTTTAAAATATGGATAGTTCAGGGAGAGGGGAAGAGAGGTGGGACAGGATGCCAGCCTATATGGAAGTGGTCCCTAATCTACATCTCGTGTGCATATCCAGAATCATCTACTGATCTGGCCAGCATGCACACTTTTTCTGTCACTATTACAGAGGGCAAGACAGTGGAAATTCAATTGCACCTGCTGGTTGACGTTCAGACTCCAGACTGAGATCACAGGACTGGAAGTGCTGCTACAACTTCTCTTTCAGATTTGCTGCCCTCAGAAACAACTAGGTCTCAAAACATCGTGTGTAACGTAAGAAACTAAAGACTAGAATCATGCAACAGATTAAGGGAAAGTCCCAAGGCCTTTAAAAGGGGAGACAAAAAACCCAGGAGAAAGACACCGGGTCTTTGTCCGGAGAAACTATCCGAAGTTATTTAAATTCTGACACTTGGGGGAGGGGGTCTAACACTGACCCAAAGAAAGTTATCCCACTTAATGCAGCAAAATAAATCCCTAGCAGATTAAATGCAGCAAAACAGATCCCTAGCAATAAAGGCTGTGGAAGCATGAACTCGCTGCATGTCCTGGGGCAGAGCAGTAAGTTTATTTATACCGTTACTTCTGTGAACTGATGGTACTTCCGATACTTCAAGTCATGCTTTGGGCATGACTTCTAATGCAAGCGTCTTAAACACGAAACAAAGCCTTCCAACTTACAGTATTTGGATTGGTGAGGTTCCTTGCATCCGTCAGCCAGCTGCTTAAATGGTTATATGTGCTTCTTCTGCAAAGAATCAAGTGCAGTAAGTTTAACTAGACGACAGTTCCTGTACATCACCTCAACGGCACAGCATATTATTCAGAAGGTGTTTTTCCCCGCAAAAGTAACACTCACACGCCCCACAGGAAGCATTACGTTCTACTGCATTTCAGTGCGGCCGTTAGAAACAAAACCAACTCTCTCCGTATAAGCAGAGGCAGACTCCTACTTCAAATGTGACATTACTGCTTTCTTCAGGAACCCGAGCTTCATGAAGGACACTGTGTTGTGTAAAATGTATTCAAAGATCTCCCGTCAATACTCCTAAGGGACACCTGACTGCAATATACTGCTTACTTAACCCTGCATGAGAGTACGCCTTCCTTCCTCTCTAGGTTTTCATCTGTGCACACCAAACGGAGGGCATCAGAAGTACAGAACCCTAGACCAGAGGACAAGTTGCATCCTCGGATGCAGATCTGCACCATCTCCACTTGTGTAACTCCGGGGAAACTGTACACGATGCTTTCAGGTTTCTTAACACTGCCCCCCGCCCCAGTCCTCTGTGGCCTTTCTACAATATCTGGTCCTGCTTGTAACAGTTTTTCATTTGCTGCATGCTGAACAGAACACCATTGCTTGCTCAACTTAGGGAAACACAGACCATCATTTTAATGACTTCACTTCCATTTACAATACTAATTCTGACCTCCTTTGAGACTCTAAAGTAATGTCCCCTGCAGGGACCGCAATGAGAAAGAAAATAGCCTCTTAACCTCTGCAAGGCACTCCAGGAATAGGAACTGCTACCTTGTAGTCACTCACACACAGGATGGTTTTCAGACTGCTTAGACTTGGCAAGCTCTTCCTAATCATTCCTGCATGACAACACATCTTGGCTGCAGGAGACTAAGAGCCAGGGGGAAGCTGTAGCAGAAACTATAAAAATGAAACCCACCATTATTTTCTCAATGAGGAAAAGCTAGCTTCTTACAGCAGGCCTATGCTACTGCCGTGTGGAGCTAGGGAGAGGTCGCTGGTCCATGCCTGGAGCCACACCAATGGTACGTGTGGCAGAGATGTGGGTTTTCTGGAGAATTTTGAATTGGAAAATTTTCCATTGCCCTAAATAGAGCATGATCTGATTTAGCATTTTATTTGATTTATATTTAGTAAACAGCACTGAATAAGTACCCCCATGTTAATTTTGTGTCCCAATAGCCTACAAGTATTCGAACTGAAGTGTTTAATTTTTTCCTAATCAAATGTTATATTCAAACAAATTCAAAGCTGTGTGTGGAAAGAAGTTATTTTTATTGGAATACTTGTAAAAATGTAAAGACAACACACAATAGCATGTACTTCCCTTACATTATTTTCCTTAAATTTAACCAAGCAAAGGCACTAGGAAAAAAAAAAAAAACTGTTGACACATCACAATTTTAGCACACCCAAAGAACTGTGCATGATAAGCCAAGCTTTGGTTTTGCTTTGACCTTCACAGCCAAGTAGGTGAATTCATAACTTGATTTTTGGTTTGGATTATTACATAAGTGTACTTACCCTCCCATTTACAAATCAGTCAAACATATATGTACTCTCTCACACACCTCCTAGGGATAACCACCTGAAAAACCACTCATTACAACTTTGAAACTGCCATGCTTGCCTACTATTGTACTGGCATCCATTCATCGTTACCAATACATTTTATGAAACAATGAATTTTTAGAAATGGAAAATTTCCCACAGAAAAATAAAGCACTGAAAAATTTTCCGCCCCACATCTCTGACATGTGGCAAGGTAGGACGTAAAGACTGGGCACATGTGTCTGTACAGAGCTCCCAAGCAGTGTCTGGGCAGAAATAAACTAAGACCTGCCTGCCCTTAGTTTTCTAAGCATATGCAAAAAAGGGACATATTTCTAGCACTGGGGACATTTAGAAAGGCCACACGCCCTACTCTTAAGTAAGCACGTTTCCAGACATGCCTCAATTCAAAATCAGATGTTTGAAGTTTAGTTGTTTTCTGCGCACAACATCCAACAGGCAGGTAAGACAAACCAGCAGTACGGCAGTCAAACTGTAAATAATATGTTAAACTAAGCAAGTGAGCTAAAGTTGGAAGTGCAATTTGAGACTGCAGTTTTACTGTGAAAACTTGTCATTGGAGTCATCTTGCTAACCTTCAGGGTACCCGCTCTTTGCATATTCAACAGATAGAGCCCTCCTTTACCTTGGGGATTGTATGTGTTCATCCTGCTATCAGGTCCCCACTATTCCTTCAATGCAGGAAAGCCTAGACCTCCTCAGTGTCAGCTATGCCAAGTACAGTTATTAGCTAGAACGGGTCATTATATGCTTTTATTATTAAGCATGTTTATAGGCCAATATAGAATGCAGCGCCCCAGCATTTCACATTAGTTTCTCCCTGAAGGAAATACATTTCATCCCATCTGTATTAAGTGGTTAGAAGCTCACTTCGTAAGCAAGACAGACAGTAAGTACCACCTTTCAAGCAAGATGGCTAAATTAGCTGAGGGAGATTTGGCCTAAAAGGGGGCAGATTCTCAGAATGGTCAGGGAAAGAAAAAGGGATACTTCATAATCCAAGTTCACCATCCCAAAACTGAACTAAGTTTAGGGGGAAAAAACCCAAGGGGACAGAACCTCAGTCAGTCACACACAACATCATCGAAAAGCCACGTCCCACCAATTTTGAAAGAGATAAAAGCTGCTAGTCATGCTCTTGTGATAGTGTACAGATAAAATCTACAGGTGAGAGTCATCAATACCTTACCTAGTAATATCATAGACCATGAGAGCTCCTGCCGCTCCTCTGTAGTAGCTTCGTGTTACAGCCCTAAATCGTTCTTGTCCTGCTGTATCCCAGATCTGCAGTTTAATTTTTTGGCCACTAACTTCAATTATTCTTGTACCGAATTCAACACCAATTGTATGAGGACAATCAGCCATAACTGTCATAGAAAGATAAATCAAAAGTTCAGATCTTTCTACCAGCAGTCTCCTCCCCCACAGACCAGAGTTCCAGCATAATTTATTTTCATATGGGGGGGGGGGGGGGGGGGGGGCCAC